TTGTAGTATTTCTATTTAGTAGTAGTTAAATTATATTGACTCAATTGAATTTGAATATTTTTGAATCTTTCCTTTATTATCTCTGTTCTAAATAAGTATTCTATTTTTCTGAATGAACCAGACTAATTGATCAGAGTACTAGAGTACATATTTTCATTTTCTGAACAAAAGGCTGAAGTAGCTAGCTAGATTGTACACTTTTAGTTGGACTAACTCTTCTGGAAGGGTGAAATTGAAGTGCAAGTGCTGTCGAATATATGTAGATGTAGAATTTTATTGCCCCCTTTCTCCTCTTATTAAGTATTTGTTAAAAATTAATTTTTTTATACAAATAAATAGTATTTTTAATATTTAACTTACAGTAATAACTATAAAAGTATTTGGGTAAACACCCCAGGCTCCTTTTAGAGTTTAGAGTAGGATATCCCTGCTATGAGTGCCTCTGCCCCTCATAAAATGACTTGGTATTTAATTTTGCCAGAGTCTACCTACTAAAATTATCAGGAATCGAAGTCGAGTGTTTTTTTACCAACTCCGCAGCCCTGGTGGAATTGAAAGTATTACCCTGTGAAAAGTCTGTAATATTAAATTCTCCACATCTAGCAACTTGGGTTTTTTCATTTTTGAATGACACTTCTTTCTTAATTCCAATAAGTGACCTTCGGTAGCCAAGTGGATAAAATCACTGAACACTGGTAGTTAGCTAGTTGTGGGTTTGGGCATGGCAACAGCTGGCCACATGGAGTTTACTGGGTTTTCTTCACATCAATGACATCTAAATAGGGACAAACTTCACATAAGTCTTCCTAGGATGCATTCCTCTTGGCAGATCACTCATGTTGCATTGCCATAATGAAATAAACCACACTAATTCTAATAATTTTTTCATAAATGTGATATTTATGAGGACATACTTCCATGTAGTGTATACAATCTTTTGCAAAATATAAACACTATTATCACATAAAAGCAATTATTCTTGCATTTTTATAAAATTTAAAAAAATTTTTTACAAGTCATACAAAGACTTTCGGACATTAAGGTTAGCAACTTCGATTACATGTGGGGCCATCACAACTTACCCAACACAGATCACTTCTTAAATATTAATAGTAATCAGTATTTGTTAGTAGTCATTGGCCATCTTATCTTCTGGAAGGAGGCCAAAGATTATTTTTGGTAAAATTACTTCAACCCCCTTCTGCAACAGCCCCTTCTTTCTATTAGACCAGCGGTATGGTGGCATTCAAATAGGAAATTACATAATACAAGATTACCTGCGAGCACAAAATATGTTTTAAGTGGTTTTTGGTGTGCTGAGTTTAAATATTTGGTCCATTTTTTGTGAAAATTTGATTTGTTGACAGATTATCATTTGATATTTGGCTTTGCATGGTACAGTTTCTTAGAGTTAACATTAGGAAAAAATATGATATCTGTAAAAATTGAAGATATATTTTCAATTGGTGTCTGCTTGACCAGTGAAATTTGCCATTTTGTACCATCTGAGTATCGCAATAAACATGACAAAGGTAGGCTGAAATAACCAAACTTTATATGGTTTTCATTTTAATGCTCATTATAGTATAGTATTTGATTTGTGTAACTACAAAGGTAATCTTAGGTAAGGGTTTATCACACCAAATGATAAATCTAACACATTTTAAAAATTCTTTAAATTGTCTACAGTAGAGGAGTAAAAATTTTTAAAATGTGTTAGATTGGGTACTTGGTATGATAAACCCTTATGTAAGGTAAAGTTTGTAGTTATATAAATCAAATACTATAATGTACTATAATAGATTATTTTGTACACTTCTAATCTTAATCTTTGGTGTTGTTATTTTTTGCCCAGGCAACACCGAGTTAATCTGCTAGTAATTCATATTTTTATTCATATACTGTAGCTGAACTTTTTCAATTGAAATTTATATAAATTAGACTTCAAAGAAAAGTAAATCATTTAAATTTTGCAATCTGGTAATTTGTTGTAGTCTTCTATACTTTCTGACACTATACATCTAAAATAAATATTTCAACTACATATATATTTTGTTATTTGTGACTACTAAGAGTAAAAAATTTATACTATACACTACTTAAATAAGAATAATGATAACAAATACTATAATAATTATAATTTTTGGTGGTAAGAAATCAGTATAATCTGTTATCATGATTTTAAATGTTTTAGTATTATACCATATATGTATATTTGCTATTTTATTTTTCATGCATTTTGCATAAAAACAATAATAATGATGATAGATTGAGAAGAAACTAAGTTTTTTAACTAAAATAAATTAAAAAACACTTGATATCATCTAATGGTGAAAACATTTATTTGAAAATGATTTGAAATAACATAAATAAGCAAATTCTTTATTGTAAAGTATTATTTGTTTTTGGAAAACATATTACTTTTATATTGATAAGAGCTGAATTAAAATACTGTATACTGAAATAATATAAAACCTGAATAATGATGACAATGTAATAGTTAAAATAAGAATGCTATAATAGGATTATCAATTCTAATAATAATGCTTATACAAAGAAAAATAATACATTGATGTTATTTATTTATACAATGTTGGAAAGGTGTAATATTTTTCACTTTATATTACATTTTTTTTTATAATATACAGATAGTTTATTTATAGAATGAATTAGAAAAACTTTCTTTATTGGTATAATATATATAACCCTTTTAGTGCTATCTCTTTTTATAAATTAGTTACATTATTATATCAGCTTAAATCTCTACATATCCAAAAACTTCATCGGCTATCTAAATTTTAATATTTTCAAAAGTTGACTGATATTTATTCCTATTTGTTAAGAAAGTACATTCTTTAAAAAATAGAAACTTCAAAAATATTTTCTTTTTTTTAATTTGTCTTAGTTTAATGCTTTAAGTGTTGGTAGTTTTATTCATTTCTGACTAAATTTCTTACAATAATTTTCTCTTCTATTAATGTAGCTATCAATTTGGCTATTAATGAGGACTTATCACATCATAATCAAAAAGATAACTGGATTAGAACTTCGTTATTCTTTTAATTAACTCCAAAATGTACATTTTGGTTCTTTTGACCCTTCTTCAGTTAGAGTAGACAATTTTCCTAAATTATTAAAAATCCATAAAAATTTCTAAAACAAATTGCAATGTTACACATGTTTAAACCCAAGAGCTACTCAATTTTTACTTAGAATTGTAATTTAAAATTTTCCTTATAAAAAAAAAGTCAATAATTTTGTTTAGGAATTGGATCTGTTACAATTAATAAAAATAAAAGAATGATTTCTTTAGATGCAGTATGTATGTGTTCATCTGTAAAATATGATAATGTAGTAGAAGTGTTAGAAGAGGTAAAATGTGAAGAATGGTTAATAAGTTTAATTGAGTATATATTGAATAATAATTATTTCTGTTTTAAACATAGCTATTTCAAACAAATAAAAGGGATCATGGGATCATGTATTGCTTCAAGGAATTGTATCAGATTCAAGGAATAAGTTATTATAAGAGATACATATATGATTGTTTGTTCTTATATGACGAATTAATAATTAAAAAAGATGATACATTAAGAATAGTTAATAAGATTGATAAAAAGTTAAAATTTGAGTTAGAAAGTATAAAAGATAAAATTTTACAGTATTTGGATATAAAAATAATAAGAGATGAGCAATTATTTATTGTAACATCGTCACAATGCCTGGCTGCAATTTTTAATGGTATTTTTAATTTATTTAATGTAAAATATATGCTCTCCACCCCAAATAGTAATGGCTTGCCCCTGTAAATCATATTCATGCCAGTCACTTATCTAACACTTTTTGGGGGAAATTTTTGAATTGAAATAACATTACTTCCGATTTGCATTTGACGTTCTTATATAGTTAATTGGGTTTCCATATCTGCCACTATGGTTTCCATATCTGATCTTGTCTTTCACCTATCTAACTCCGTTCTTGAGATTAAGGAAAGACAGAGGGATGGACGACAGTGGGAATTTATTTTTCAAATTTCAACCCAATAATAATAATATTACTAGTAAAGTAAGTCACATCGAGAAACTTGAAACGATATTTATTGCTGTAGTTGGCCTGCACGAGCAGTTTGAGCAGTAATACGTCACAAATGAAAGATCATAAGTGATTTATTGTTTAGAAAAGAAAAAAAATATGATGAAAAGTACAGATAAAAAAGAAATGTTTAAGAAAGAAATTAAATTAAACTAAACTAAAGTAAAAAATAAGAAATAAAAGAATAATGAAATAAAATCAGTTCGCATTTAGGCGGGAAAAATCTTCGATAAATTGGAGTCGCTCGTTAAAAGCAGCGCGTTTGAGATTTGTCCAGTCTGGACTGAGGGAACTGTGTGTCAAACATAACGTCTGTGAGTCGCTTGACACGGCTAAAAAACATATATTTGAAATAGTTACATAAAAGTTGAAAATTTCCAATGGGATAAGAGGAAGGAGTTGAGGCAAACAGTAAGCGAGTTCAGGCTTCTGGGTTAACTTTTGCGTTTTTGTGTCTGATTATTTTTAAATCGCTCGTTAGATTTTGATGGTTTCGATGTCAAAATGCTCAGTAGAACCCTGGCATGTGGATAAATTATATCTTGCAAAATATAATTAACTCTCAGAAAAGATATATTCAAAAAACGAATATGTCAACTTTCGCTTCTTTGACGCTTAATAACAAAAAAATTATTTTGACATTTTTGAGTACTGGTGTTTGGAATAGACAGCTAGACAGTTGCTTCATATTTTTGCATACTTCGGTAAATTTCGGTTGAGCCATGGAAAAGTTATTCGAGTTAAAAGAAAAAGGAACCAGATTTACATTTCTAATCCCCACTAGATGGCAGCTTTCACTAGCTGTAATAAGGGAAAGCTTCTGGAACTTTCTGGAATATCTTGCTAGCAGTTTGTGGTAGTGGCATTGGTTTTGATTTTATTTTTGTACTAAAATATATGTTCTTTAGCTAGTAAATGGCTGCAACGCAACATCGAAGAGGAAGACACCGAGCTCGAGGTGTAATGAGAGGAGGAGGTGGCCGAGTGCCCAGACAGATCCAACAGCAGCCACAAGAGGAACCTCGGCGGGGAGCAAGACGCTCGAGAGGAAGGCCTCCTGGACGAGGTAGAACCGCTCCGCCACCAGCTAACGTACAAGAACACCAACAGCATCGAGGCCGACGAGGTAGGCCTCGAGGTGTTCACCGTGGTCGACCACACCGTTCACTAGAAGGTCGATTGGTTCGTGAAAGGAATAGACTTTACCAAAGAGAACGTCGACGTCGAAGGCTACATGCTACAAAACTTTATCTTATTCTATATGATTGATTTGAATTGTGTTTAGAATACATATATTTCCCACTTGGAAAAACATTATCAATCTCATAAAATACATTATTCAAATCAAATTTTATCTAACTACAAACATGTGAATTTTCTAAATACTGTATTATATGAATAATCTTAAATTAGTAACATTAGATTGAATAAATATTTCAATGAATTAAATATTTTTGACTGAATTTTGATATAAATTTTTTAAAGTTATTATTAATGCATTGATTTCTATAAATAGAATATTTCATTTTCTTTATGTTCGAAAGCATTGTACTGTATAGAGAAAATAAATGTGGTAATTTACTACTAGATAGGTGACATCGAGAAACTCGAGACTATGTTTATCGATATAGTTAGCCTGGGCGAGCATTTGAACAGTAATGTGTCACAAATCAAAGATTATAAGTGAATTATTGTTGAGAAAAAAAATGATGAAAAAGTACAGATAAAAAAAGAAAAATGTAAGAAAGAAATTAAAGTAAAGCAAACTAAAGTAAAAAATAAGAAATAAAAGAATAAAATAAAATCAGTTCGCATTTAAGCGGGAAAACTCTTTGATAAATTGGAGTCGCTCGTTAAAAGCAGCCGCGTTTTAGGTTTTGTCCAGTCTCGACTGACAGACTGAGTTGCTTGACACGACTAAAAACAAAAACATATTTGAAATAGTTAAAAGTTGAAAATATCCGATGGAATGAGAGGAAGGAGTTGAGCGTAACTGCTGATATGTTGACGAAAGGAAATGACAATTTGTTTAAGTCGGTACAGGCTCGGCATGCAGTTACAATAGAGAGAATTGAAGAGCTGGGTAACGTGGCGCCATCTAGTGGAGACAAGGGACGTAAATCTGGTTTATTTTTCTTTGAACTCGGATAACTTTTCCATAGCTCAACCGAAATTCACCAAACTGTGCAAAAATATGAAGCAACTGTCTAACTTTATATTATAAAAAACAGCACCCAAAAATGTCAAAATACTTTTTTGTTATTAAGCATCAGAGGTGAAAGTTGGCATTTTCGTTTTTTGAATATATCTTTTCTGAAAGTTAATTATGTTTTGCAAGAAATAATTTATGCACATGCCAAGGTTCTACTGAGCACTTGACACATAAATCATAAAAATCTAACGTGCAAATTTAAAAAGACAAAAAAAATTGTACAGGAAAGTGCAAAAGTTATCCCAGAAGCCTTGGCTTCGCCCAGACGATTATTTGTACACTTCACTATACCTATAAAAATGAATATTTTTAAGATGTGTATAGAAAAAATATTAAATAAAACTACAGAAGAAACACATAAAAAAAAGTAGAGATAAATAATGTTTTTAAAAAAGTTTATGTTGAATGGATATCCTAAAAAATTATTAGGTGAATGGATGGATAATATTTTAAATACAAATAATGAAAGTAAATGTAAAAATAAACAAAATTTGAAAAAATATTTAGTGATTGTAATATATATTTAGTTCCTGAATATACAGAGGTTATGGAAAATCAGTTTATGAAAACTGATAATTTAAAAAATGATAATGTTACAGTTAAAAATAAATTTTAAAAAAAGTAGTATAAAAAGTGGGATGTTCATGAGACACACTAAAAATATATGTGGAGGAAATGGAGAGATCATTACCTATGAGAGTAGCAAAAGCAGAAGATATTACAGCAATAAAGTATAAATATGAAATTATGTAATGGCAAAACATTATAATTCAGTAGGTTGCAAATGAATTTAAATAAAATAAAAATTTTTAAATAGGAAAAAAATAAATTTAAAAAAAGCTGAAAGAACATTTAGAAATTAAAAAAATAAAGAAGAAGTCTAATAATTATATAAATGAAAATGAAGGAATAAAAATTGATAATACTGTATATGTATAACATTATTGCTGTTAGAAGGTGAGAGTTGGGTGAACTGATTAGATAATTAATATAATTTAGTTTAATTGATCAAGTGAACTATTGTTTTTTTAAAAAAAGTTTTAAATGAATACAAAGGATAAACAACTTATTTCTGGAACTATTATTGTAAGTAAATTTTTCTATTACTGATGGTTTTATAAATGTACCAGTACATATTAAATAATGTAATTTATTTAATTTTAGTATTTTATAAAATCATACTTCAAATAAGAAAATTATGTATGGAAAATTTTAAATTACAGTTATAAATAAAAATTGTATAACTCTTGGGTTTAAACATATGTAACATTGTAATTTATTTTAGAAATGTTTATGAATTTTCAATAGTTAATGAAAATTGCCTATTCTAACTGAAGAGGAGTCAATTAGAATAGACTGAAAATGTGCTATACATTTTGGAGTTATTTAAAAGAATAAAAAAGTTCTAATCTGGTCACCTTAATGATTGGGGTGTGATTAAGATTCTCATTAATAGACAAATTGGTATTTATGTTGATAGAAGAGAAAAATATAATAATTAAAGGACACGACTCTTTTTATAAAAAGTTCTTACAATAAAACTAACATTCAAGTTGAAAAAGAAGAATAAACGTATTTATAATTATTAAAGCATTTAAATTAACAAAACTAATATATACTCTTTTTTTAACTAATAGAAGTGAATAATTGAACTAATAAATAATGAAAGTATACATAATTAAATATTTATACAATGCTTTCATTAAACTGGGTAGGATTGGTTTGGCATTAATATTCTAATGATATGCATTAGAATTGTCTCAGCATTAAAAGGGTTACTGATAATTCAATTAACTTGTATTTAATATAAAATTAATTAAAACTTTAATTTATGAACTATTTAATATTTGATAATTTCAAATATGAATTTCTTCAATTATACACTGTTTCTATTGAAAATCTTTACTTGGGAACAAACTTTACAAAATTTATAAATATTCTTTTGATATGTTTTAGATTCAAGAATACAAAATAGGCCTTCTTCTCCATCAACTTTATAAATCATTTAATCAATTTAATATCACATCTTTATAGTTTGTGGTTGCTTTTTGAACAGACTCAAATCTTTCTTATTTGGAATCCACTTCACTCATAAGGTAACATCTTATCTATTAATTATCAATATTACCATCTAAAAACCCAATAGTTATGTTCTAGAATAACAAGTTTTCACTTCTGATAAATATTTGTGTCATTAATTTCAATAAAATTGAATTTTTTGAATTTAATGAAATTTAAACATTTATGAAATAATTTTTAGAGGTCTAATATAATTCCTATGGATCTTCAATATTTTGAATTCATTATTATGACATGATAAATGTACAAAAAGTTTAATTCTTATAAATATGAATATAATTATAGCCTCATTAGTTTCAAGAATATGATTTGCCAAAATGTTACTGTCATTCATTAAAATGATTAAAAATAATTTTTTAATCAAATTCATCTTAAAAATGAACAATTTTCAATATTTTTCTGTTATGGAACATACAACATAAAACAGAGATGCAGACATCACATCTCTGTTTTATCTGCATTTCATGCAGACAGCTTATATTATACAGAGATCTTTATATTTTCATTACTGCAGCAGTGACTACAGATAACAAATTTAATTTTAATGTGTTTTGAACATACATATTGTAACATTTATTATATTACATTCATTTTGAATCAGTTGTTAAATATATAACAAATAAACAATTCAAGTAAAAATTTGTGAAAACTATATAAAATATATCTACAATTGAAATCCTACTTTTATTCAATTAATTAAAAGGATTTCTCCAAATCAATAAATTATCTATTAGGTTGTTCGGAAAGTAAGATTTTTTTACCACTAGATGGATTAGTTGTAATTTTCCCGCCATTTTCATACAAACCTTATTATCATTATATATTTTGACAGCTAGCATTTTAAGGCTTATTTGTAAAAAAATTTTGCTTGATTTTGTGCAATTGTTTATTTTTTGTGTCCCATCAAATATGGAAGATCGAAAGCAGCATTTTCGGCATATTTTGCTCTTTTATTACTGAAAAGGTAAGAATGCTGTTCAAGCAAGAAAAAAATTGTGAGACGTGTATGGAGAAGATGTATTGACAGAACGACAGTGCCAAAACTGGTTTACAAAATTTCGTTCTGGCAATTTCAATATTGAAGATGCACTACATTCTGGATGGCCAGTGAAGCCAATGAAAACAAAATAAAGGTGTGATTGAAGCAAATTACCAAATAACAACACGTGAAATCACTAAGAGATTAAATTTGTCGAATTGAACTGTTTATGATTACTTGAAACGAATTGGTTTCATTTCAAAGCTCGATATATGGGTTCCATATGTTCTTAAAGAGAGATGCTCTCTTTGGTGGGATTTTAAGGAAATTTTTTTTTTGAGCTTTTACCAGACAATTTAACAATTGATTCGAAAGTGTACTGCCTTCAAGTAAACAAATTGAGTAATATCATCAAACAGAAAAGGCGGCCAGAATTGATCAACAAAGCAGGTGTAGTGTTTTACCACGATAATATCAAATTTCACACAAGTTTGGTAACTAGTCAGAAACTGTTATAACTTAGATGGGAGGTGCTATCACACCAACCATATTTGCCAGATCCAGCACACTCAGATTATTACTTGTTCTGGTCTATACAAATATTTTTAACTGTAAGACATTTACTTGAAATGACAATGTCAAAAATCACTTGGATCAGTTTTTTGTAAGCAATGATCAAAACTTTTATGAATGCTACTACCAGAAACAATGACAACAGGAATTTGACCAAAATGGTTGATATATAATTCAATAAAATATTTATTTATTATAAAATTATTGTGTTTTTTCCACGGGAAAAAACGAACTTACTTTCCGAACAACCCAATAGGATAGGATTAGTGAAAACTGACATTGATTTGAACAGATTATTATTATAAATTTTTCTTGTAGATATATATTAAAGAGTCTTAATAAACTTTACATATATATGTGTAAGAAATACTTACAGAATATTTAATCATTTGTATTATTTAATAGGCCTGTTGCATTTTGAAAGTTAAGTATTTTTTGACTTAAATTTTATTATGGAATGAACAATAAAATGTCCATTTTCATAATATAATTTTATCATAATTTTTGTACTTTATTTGATTTTTATGGTTTTTTTTTTATTGTAAATTTAAAAATTTCATAGTTAACTTTATATTGGAATGAATAGAAGCATATGACAAACTATTTAGATACCTGAAATGGAAATATGATTTACTTAAATGTTTTCTATTTCAACTATATTGTAGGTTAAAGTTCACTAGATTTCATTGAATATCAATATTTCTTAAACAAATATAGATTCAAAATGTAAACCAGTGAATACAGCTAAAATAATATCATCAGATCTTTGTAAAATTCTTTTTTCTCTGTTTTAATCACTAATTCTTATATTATTTTTTGGAAAAGATTACTTTCCATGATGAAAAAACTTCCAATAAACAAATTAAAATTTTTAAATTGATTTAAAATTTTTAAACTTCAAAGGATGTTTTTCTGTTTTTATTTTGTCTTGTACCCTGATAGAAAATGATCATAATTAAATAAAAATTGTAGAAATTACAATCAAGAAAATTCTAACATTATAATCATAAAAATTGCTTTATTGGGACATGTGACATCATTGGCAATGGAGTCCATCTCAGTTAAGAATAAATTGAACATAAACAAGAATGGCAATTTTTAGTTCAATATTAACTACTGTAATTTTGTGTGGATAACACGTGGAAATGTACACTTCATAGAAAATTTGTAGAATGAAAATAAAACTTTTACATATTTACTCTATAGTATAGTCTGCATCTCTAGAGTGTTCTTTTGAGAGCATGACACTTACTGGTATGCAATTTAGAAGATACCATCTCAAATAGATAACAGCAAATTGTTTTTATGCTTCCTTTGTCCATTAACTTATCAAAAAGAAAATTTCAAAATTAATTATAATATAATTAGAATGTATTCTCTGTAATTTCTGTGTTTAAATTTCTTATCTTGAGAAATTCATCATTCCAATTAGTAGTAAGTGTTTTTCACTAGCAGTAGAGTTTTACATGTTAAAATGTGGTTGCAATTTGCAAAACAGAAAAAATTTGCCAGAAATGACATCATTGCCAAAGAATATTTACTTCATTTTCAACTTTTTGTTAGTAATTCACTCAAACTAAGCTTAAAATTGATTGAACCAAATGAAGTACCAAATTATCAGGATTATGAGTAATAATTACAGACTAATTATTCTAAAGGTAAGTACTTATGCTGCCATCTCATGTTAATTTTAATAATTATAAAAAATAATTAATTTTTAGAACCATACTGGTTTC